TTATGGAAAAAGTAGTTTTGTGGTAGTTAATGGTAGTTCAGTTAATGTTTTGAGTGGGGATTGGAATAATCGTCGTTTTCATCCTCGTTTTGTTTCTCCCTGGTTGTCATACAAGGCTTTTTGGCAGTTTGGAGATGGATTTGTTCGTATGTTTGTTACGCAGAGAGAGTGAAGCTCCAGTTCCAGTTATGGTTTCGGAGGTTCCAGTGGCGTCTGGTTCCAGAAATTTTAGTGCAGTTTGCTAGTGAAAAATCCAGGTAACTTTTTAATTAAATTTTAAAGTAAAGATAGACAATTATTTTAAATAAATAATTGCTTTCGTTAAAATTTAAAAATAGTAATATTTAATATTGTAAATTTTGGGTTTTGACTTTAGCTGTTATTTTATTTGTTTTCAGTTTTTAAAATTTAATGTTAACATATGACAGCTCGCTTTATTATTTTTAATTTTCTTTTTTTTTGTTAAAAAAAAAGGTTAACCTCTGTGCAGTAACATTTGTAAGTTTTTTGTAGTATCTCCAACTCCTAGAGTTTGTAAATGGATGACATGTAAGTTTGTTGTATTTTTGTATTTTGCGACTATTGACGTAACATTTTTGTATTGTCTTTTTTGAGTATTCTTGTATTCTCTATGTTTTGTAACTGTTTGTGGCAAGACACAATAAATTTTGTTTCTTAACATTTTGTTTATTTTTTTAACAAACCTTTTTTTGAGTTTCGTTTAAAAAAAATATGTTTTTCAGTTTTAATAATTATTTCCCTAGTTACAACTAGTGGTTGTAATAGGTATAATTAGGCATCTCAAAGTGGCGCCCTATATTAAATTACTAGAGGTGTTTCCTGTTTATTTTTTATTTTATTTGTCCCAAGAGATTATGTTAGTACCCCTTTTGTTTCTTTTTTCTGTAGTTGCCCAATCCGACCTCTTGCCATTTACTTATTCACGACGCCAGCTCTCCTAACAAACCCTGAGTACCGTTCGCACAAGTAGCGTTTATTTTGCTTGCCCTATCTTTACCCCCTAAATCTTACCCTGAGGTAGGCAAAATACTGGAGTCATGAGCAAAATAATTAAAACCAAAGATATGTCTCGTAATACAAAAATAAGAGTATACAAAATAATTAAATAGAATAAATATAATTAGACCCACAATGCTATACGCTGCCGAGACATGGACTATGAACAAAACCATACAGTACAGATTATAAGCATGGGAAAGAAAGATATTTCGCAGAATGTTTGGTGGAAAAGTAGTAGAGGGAGAACGGAGGAGACAAACTAATGCAGAAGTGTACCATTTGTATGCTAACCCTACAATAACAAAAGTGGCGAAAAAACATAGACTAGAATGGCTCTGGATGGATAGAAATCCAATTCATTAGTATATACTATAATCTGCGTTAAATTAATAGATATTTTTACACCATTGTATAATTTTGCATATTTTAATGTCTTTTATCACACTATATTCAAGAGGAAACTCGCCAACGCGTCTCCTGCTGTAACACCGCAAACGTTTCAAACGGTGCTGACATTCAAATTTGCAATTTGCACTCTGAACATCACTTTACTCAATTGTTTTTATAGTCGTCCATAAGGAAATATTAATTCCTCTAGAGGTCAATCCTACGACACTGGGGAAAGATTAATTGAGATTACTTTGGAAGTTAGCTAGCTTATTTTGTCCAATGTGCTGCTCATTCCTTCATATAAGTGGTAACGGACCAATACTACTATTGATGCACAGATTTTTTTCGAAACTTTAAACAGTATATATTCTTTCTTTGAGGCTTTAGCTTCCCGTTGGGAAGTTGGAACTACTTTCCACTGATATTGAAACCCGAAAACAAGTCACGATGGTCTGCAAGACTAGATACAATCGAAGCTCTGTATGAATATTACGGTAAAGTTGCGCAGGTTTTGGAGGTTCTCTTAAAAACCATGATCTATCAATACCTCAAACTATGAGAAACCGCTTTGAAATAAACTGACAGTAGGTTTGGATGCCCAAAACTATCATGTCTTTTAACGTTTTTAAAGTCTTACATATAGTTTGCTCCATTTGACATCATTACTGAGGCACGCATGAATGATCTACAATAAGTATTGTCAGAGAAAAGACAGAGAAAAGGAAATAAATGCCTGATGAGTTAGCTGGCGATGAGACTCTGGCAAGTGCTAAGAACGTGTATCAACTAGCCATGTTAGAAGTTATTAACCGAGTGAATACGGAACTCAGATGACCTAAAAGTGAAAGAAGAAAAATTTGTAACTATCAGAAAAGAAGAAAAATCTACACTGCTGATCTTAATATTGAACAATTCAAATTAGAAATAGAAGGGTTTAAGCACTATGCTTTATCGGTTGACGGAAATTAAAAGAAAATCACATCAAAAGAAATGTTAAGTCTTATTTATGAAAATATAAAAGAGAAAGACAGGCTACCCTAGCGTTACTACAGCACTGATAATATTTTTCACGCAGCCAATCACAGTGTCATATGAAGAACGAAGTGTTAGCAAACTCAAAATCAACAAAAAGTAAATGAAAATTACGTTGGAACAGGAGAGAATCTCTAATCTTAGTGTAACAATATTAATATATCGATTGAGTACAAATGAGCATCCATTAGCAACTATGACTACATTATCAGTACATTTGCAGCTAAGAAGGTTCAAAGAATTCAAATTTGAGGTCAAATTTCATATTTTATCATCCAATTTATCAATGGGACAAAAGATATTTGTTATAATTTGTGAAAAATCCGCCTAGATAACATTCATACATGTCATATACTCAGAATAAAGTTTAACATCAAAATTCGAAAACCAAATATATACCAGTATTTCCAAGCGGCCAGCAGATATTTGTTCTAATTCGTGAAAAATCCGCTGAGATAACGTTCATATTGTCATTAATTTTTTTTTATAAATAAAACGTCTTAATAACAAACTTATGATATGTAATATCAACTACTTATCTAAAATATCTTACGGAAGTAATATTTTTCCAATGTTTTAGTTTGACGATGGTAGGAAGATTAGAGAAGGGGCGGGCGCAGTAGAATTTTCCTGTTAGAGGATTTTGTTTGCGCACCGAAATTTTTTTTTGCTATTTTTTTTATCCTACCTCCATTTTGAGGTCTTAAAATTTGTGAGTAACAGTACCGGAATATTGCCCTGGGGGATGAGGGTTTAACCCCCAAAATCAACCTGGGTGTGCCACTGGGCGGGAGGCAACCTGATCTTTGACCTCCCTGACAAATATATTAGGTCCATATCTACATAAACTGTTTAAATGATTACTAGATTAAAAAAAATAATTAAAAAGATTTATTTAAAAATCAATAAGAAAGTTAATTATAAAACAGTCCTTGTTAATCCGCAATACCATTTCTAGAAACTCTAGGGTATTAAGTCACTCTACAAGGATGATTAAGTAATCTTGCCTTTTTAAGGAAAATTAATTATACTGTTAATTTGCAGTGGGTATGTAATCACATGTAACTATTTTTCTAATGGCTTTGGTTATTTTTAAAATAAAAAATAATTCCTGGTCAATTAATTACATTCGTTAGTTAATCAAAAGAAAAATCATATATAGACTGATTATACTATAATTTCAAAACGATTCTCAACAGGTGCCGATTAAATCTATGTGATTAAATATAAAACACTCTACTTTATCTTAAACTAAAAAGCTATCGATGAAAATGGAATGAAACGATTCTTTGTTTTTGCTGTATGCATAAATTTTACACAGCCTAGTCCTGTCCAGTTTCGAATTACGAAGCCAGAAAATTTTTTTTTTATCTTGTTATATAACCTTTATCCTCTATTTTAAATTTATTGGCCAATTTTGGAATGTTATTACATAGCAAATGACCAAAATAACTGGGTTTTCTTATTTTAATCGTTCTTAATAGTTGTTTTTCTATATTTATTTAGAACTTCGTTATATGTTTTTTGTACAGTATAGTAAATTTTTAAAATTCTCCGGTCCACCAATAGTACAAGTGTCGACTTCATATAGAACAATCCTCTTCACCGTACTTACTGAGGTACCAGTTGCTTGAGCCACTCGCTCTATTAGGTGTAAAGGAGTTGTGCAATACCCCAAATCTTTTTCCCGTTTTATAACTAAATAAATGTTAAAAATAATTTGCCTCCCTTATCCATGGACCACTTTTCCATTGTTACTTTCCCTGTAAAACCGCTGGGTTTTAGATAATAGATAAAATGTTAAATATTAGTTATGTTAGGAACTTAAATATTAGGAACTAAATGCTTTAGACACTTTTAAAGTACTTTTCATTTTAATTAATTAATTTATCATAAGCGTTTATAAAACATATCAATCTTCTGCAAAACATATTAAAATAAACAATAAAGTTATCAGATGTTAAACACTTTTAAAATAGATTTTTTTTAAACATTAATTTGTCATAATAACCCCCTCTGTGGCTCAGTGGTAAGAGCGCCTACCTTTAAACCTAAAGGTCGTGAGTTCGAATCCCATCTGGGTGGAGAAATTTTCGTTTATTAAAAATTAATGAATGAAAATAATTTCTATCCATGTGCGACTTATGCGCAATATCTTATCTTCTTATCATAGTATTATGAAGAGAACTGCATGTTTTTAGCAATGCCTGATATTATTGTTTCGTCCGTGGATCGACGTCATTAAATGATTACGTTAGGACCACGACATTATGAATTATGTTTACTTTAAATTAAACTAAAACCCAAATATTAGGGACTCTTAGACTATTAGACTGGAAGTAGCATAAAAATGTTCAAAACTGTATGCGATTTTTAGATCATATTTTAATCTTAAATAGTATAAATAACAAAATTTAACAAATCTGTTGTTTAATGGATATAACGTTTTATTTTTAATATGATTTTTAAAATATATTTTCATTTTTTCAGGACATTTTCATTCGCAAGCATGTTACCACAACATTTAGCGACTCCAAAAATAACTTCATTGCTGAAATATGCTTAGGTGGCTGGGTCCTACCAAAGTTTCTGAAAGACAAGAGGCTGCACCTTCTATCAAAAATGGCAAACAGGAAAACGTTACTGACGATCCATTGGCCACCATAAAAACCGGAGATAAGGGACAGAAAAAAGTTTATTCTGTTAGCAGGTCAGTCCAATTACCAAGGGTATCTCTCAAGAATTGCACTTTTCCTACTGATGACACATCTATCGTTAGGGGTGGAGGGTGAGTAGGGGGTTATTTGCACTATGTGTATTTTCTCTGGTATAACTTAGTTGTTTAAATTTTATGTTATATATAATCTTTGTTCTCCCATTTTTTAACATATTTCATAGCTATATTGCATGGACTTAAAGTCGACAGAAAGGAATGCAACAACAATATTGGATAAACAGTGCATGATAACAGCCTATCAAATAATACCCATGGGCATGTTTTATTTGGAATCTTTTATTTTTGTTGTAATTTATTAAATTATATTCTATTTAACAGCTTCTCTTTTCCTACAGAACAAAAAAATTAACGGATGAATATATATATATATATATATATATATATAATATATATATATATATATATATATATATATATATATATATATATATATAGATATATATATATATATATACGAAAAATAATAATAGATTGAAAGAAGTTATACTTTGTAACTTTTGCAGCTATATTTCTAATATCTCGGAAATAAAAGATCTGCTAGATTTTAAAATGGAAATTGGTACGAAAATTGATGATTTTGATTATAAAATAACTGAGTTAAAAAATAAGCTCAGCCAGATTGATTTATTTAAGTCTATCTAATTCACGTATCATATTGCTAACGAAACTGTAGATCGCATATATAGATCGATAGATACGTTTATTGACAATTTTTACATAGTAAACACTACATGTTATGTCACAATAAAAATAAGTCACTTTTGTTTACTAAGAAAGAAATAATACAAGAACACATAATAAAAGATATACAATGAAAATTAGATATATAAAATTATAAAAAAAGAAACAATTCAGTAAGGCGTAATATAGTTTTTATTAAAAACGACCACACTAGGAGCTCAAAAAAACAAATTCCTGTATACCTACTATAGAAACAGTGTTCCAGCAGGAAGTGTTTTGCTAGTTTATAAAATTGTTTAGAATTCATTGCTTTAATATCAATATTTGTGTTTAGGTTTAAAAACAATTATACAGATTATAATCTATTGTATTAAGTTGTGTAACACACAATCTCGAATATGGTGTAATGATATGACTTTTATTTCTTGTATTGTAATAATGTTGATCAGCATGTGTTTTTACATCTTCTTGTATATTATTATGAACAGTTAACAAAGTTTCAAATATATATATTGAAGGTAAAGGAAGAATGCCATACTTTTTAAACAAGGGTTTACAGCTGGCGCGATATTCTGCTGAGTCAATATTTCGGATAACACGTGCTAAAAATATTCTAATTAGAGGCGTAACAGAATCTTCCTCTGGGGATGCACAACGCTCACCTTTTACAAGCGTTTTCAAGGTCGGTAAAGCGAACCAAAGATTTCCACGAATGATAAAGGTAGTAGGGTAAACTGTGCAAATACCGGTCAGTGGGTAATGGCGGTCATCCCGATTGTGCGAAATCTATTCAATCTGGCAACCTCCTATAACTGCCAACGTGTCGCTACACTACTCTGTATTCAGATTGCTGATGAGCGTTGAGTTGGCGTAAACCATTGTCATAGAAATATTATTAACCTGTCTTCAGTGTTTTCGATCTTATTTTTATGCTGAGTAATATAAGGTCTTAATTTATTTTTATTCACTTGTAGATCGTAAAATTGGTTACAATTGATTATAATGACGTTAGCTGCCTACTCCTTTTTTAAAGATCAATATTTTAATACATGTTTACGAGTAAAAAAATCTAAGAAAAAAAATGCCAACAGGAGGCAATGCCGGTCAGTTGACCGGTATTACCCCCATGCTATAATTTATACCCTATACTATTAATCCTTAGGGATTAATCCATCCATTTTTCGACATTGCAAGAAAGAATAAAAAATAAAAATCTACAAGGTGTCTCATTAGGTAGAAAATCAGTATTTTCTGCCGAACAAGAAGCTAAAATAGCCACACAAAAAAATATTTAGCTTAATTTTTTATGGCGTAACAGCAATAGAACTGAGAAAATTAGCATTTGGGTTTACAAGATAATTTTTCTTGTAATAAAACACCTTTTTCTTGTAATTGGCATTACAAGAAAAAGGTGTTTGATTCTAGTTCTTTGGAATCGGATATTGATATATCATGTGATAACAGTGACGATGCATACGAAGATAGATGCCTGGTTTACAGCGAGTTTGGCAAAAACAATGAATTGTGGTATATATTTACCGTTTGCTCACGATGGGCTTATTCAGAGTGCAGTGGATTGGATTCTGCAGAGTTATACCTGCGATGACTGTCAACTATTTTTACATTAAAAGACATATTTGTGTTATGTTTTGTTTGTTTTGTGATAAAAAATATTTTTTCACCTTTCTTACTGATTTACTTGAATTATGACCCATTAAGCCACATTCGTTAATCGTTTTATAACAAAAAAATGTTAAATAGATATTGATTTTTATTTTAATAATAACACAAACAAATTAACTGGCATTACCCACACTCATGACCGGTATTGTCCATGTATGGTGACAATACCGGTCAAAGATACTTTTTTATGTTTTGTCTCTGTCAAAGACAAGAATTTTATATTTTTGAAATTAAATGTATCTTGCAATAAGTTAAAACCCCAAATTACGGATTGACGGCTTAAATTTGATTCACACAGTTTTACTTTTTTTTTATATTAAATTTTCTTCTTAGGTGACCGCGATTTGCACACTTTACCCTAATGGGTTCGGAATACCACGTTAAAGATATTCTGAGAAATAAAGCAAAACTTCTGGAAAACAAAGCCACGGAAAAACTCTCAATAATTGACGACAAGACGCCCATCCAACAAGTACGTTTAAAAGAACTCCGAAGTGAACTAGAAACTCGCAAAAATAACGGTGAACATGATTTAACTTCTAAATACATCAATGGTACTCCCAGAATCACGAAATTTTGTTTATAATTTTTCTACCAACAAATTTAATGACTGGCTATTTCTATATACTAATTTGGATTCACTTTCCGCTAAGTTTAACGGATTTGTATGCACAGTGCAACTTCTTAAACCGGACATTATTTGTATTCCTGACTCCTTTATTAATATAAATGGATATACAATATATCGTAAAGACAGAAAAAATCATGTGGGTGGCGGTGTATGCATTTATTTATGTAATATTATTACCACAACTTTCAAAATTAACATTAATATTATTATTAGATATTCCTGAAAGAGATGCAATTCACTTATCAGTTACTAAAAATTCTTTTTGTGTTAATTTAGTATGTATATATCGTCCACCTGTTTCACCACTTGCACACGATAATGTTCTCTTTACAAAACTTGAAGAAATGTCATCTCTTGATAATCTTATCATTACTGGAGATTTTAATTTCCCAGAGGTCAACTGACCAATAACTTTATTATCTGACGCCGAAAACGCTCATAATTTAAAAGCTTTGTAAATTCGAACCTGATACAACTCATTAGAGAGCCTACTAGATTTAGAAATAATAACCAACCTTTTACTTTCAATCTAGAACTTATTTATGACGAACAGCTGATTTGATCTCTCTAAGTCAGTTCTCCTATAGGAAAGTCAGATCATGCAGTGATAACGGCTCACGTCCAGTTAAATCAAACTACTACCCCGCAAAAATAATATTGTAGCATATGCTACTACCGACTTTTCTTAAGTTGATACTGAACTCTCTCAAATCGACTGGCATTTACTTTTTGCAAACTTAAACGACCCCTCATTAATGTGGATTGCATTTCTCGATAAAGTCCATAATATAATTTCTACAAATACCACTTTCCGTAAGATTTATAAAAACAACCTTCAACCCTGGATAAATCGAACAGAAATTAAACAAATTAATCACAAACGACATCTATGGCAGAAGTTTAAACACACCGGGCTTTTTAGTGATTTTCAAAGCCACCGCAGATTTTTAAATAACTTACAAACATCTCTAAAAACTTTAAGACAAAATTTTGAAGCAAATGTTATTGAAAGTGGTAACTTTGAATAACATTAAAAAAGTCTACAAATACATACGTTCCTACTTGACGTCTAAAGTTTCCATTCCTCTACTTCAAAATCCAACCAAACTTTATGCTCTTTTGACAAAGAATCTTCCGAAACTCTCTCTTTAGCATTTTCACAGGTTTTTACTAAAGAATCGAATACTGGCTATCTACCTGCTATTAACTCTAATCATGTCGGCGCATTCTTACAGCTAGTTGAATTCGAGGTTGAGGTTGTTTGCCTAGATTTCTCTAAAGCCTTTAACCGTGTACCTAAGCTCAGACTTTTGCATAAGCTAGAACATTTCAGAGTTCGCGGTACTTTACTTCGTTGGATAGATGATTTCCTTCAAATGGACTCTATTTTAACTTAGTGTTCCCAGTGGAGACTACTCTTAAATGCGGAAAAATGTGTAGTGCTTCGAATTGGTAAAAATAACCCACTTATGCGGCACTTTGTTAACGGGCAGCCATTAGATTCTGTGTTTTCGTATAACGACCTTGGTGTTATCGTAAACAGCAGCCTAACTTGGTCCGACCATATTACCTCTATTTGTAAACGTGCGAACTCCAGACTGTATCTTATTCGGAGGTATTTTTCGAGAGTTTCAATGCAATCATTATGTAAACTGCACACTCTTTAGGTAAGACTCATACTTGAATACGCTGGACCAACGTGGTATCCTGATTTGGATCGAGACAAGACTTTATTGGAAAACGTTTAAAGAAAAGCCACTCGAATTCCTTTGGGTCCGAGAACACCTTCTTATGCAGAAAGACTTTGTATGGCTAACCTAACTTCTTTTGAACTTCTCCGACAACATTTAAATTATTAAAATTCAATTTTGGAAATCAAGATGAAATGTTTACCATGAATCAAGATAAACTCCTCAGAGGTCATCAGTTTAAACTAAATAAAGAAAACTTTTCTATAAGATCAAGACAGAACTTTCTACCAAATAAAGTTTTTTAGTGCTGGAATAACTTTAATGATAACATTGTCTCTGCTCCCTCTGCCAATTCGTTCAAAAAC